AAAGCTCTCCTGTAGCGGTTTGTGTTGCAGCAAATATGAAGAAGCCTCTGACTGAAGGAACTCTGTTTTTCAATGACCGTCTCATGAAGAGGATGGTCAGGGTTGTCCATAATATTTTTGATTTTCAGTAAAATCCTTCTTTGCATCATTATCCCCAGAACAGATCTCAACGGGACAGAATTCATAGATTTTGCTGGAAAACTTTCAACTTTAAAGGACTTTTTAGTGCAAAACAGTTATCTAAAATTACACAAATCAATAAACAGATCAACACTTTAATTACTTTTGATTTATAAGCAAAGAAAAGAGCTATTTCACAGCTTTTTTGGGCACATATGGACAAACTTAAATCAGATCAGGTTAAAAATCTACATCACTTGGCTTCTTCAAACCTGGGCAGCATCACCCTACAGTAAATAAAAATCTGGAGCGTCATCTCTAGAGTTATCCAGTGAGGAACTGGACGACTCCCCAGGCGGAGACCAAAGCGTGTCGATGCATTTACCTTGCTGGACTGATAGGAAGGCGTCTGCGCCGTCTGGGTCTTCTCTATCCCTCTCTTCGACAGGGGAACCTGGTTGCCTCTTCCGCCGGACCCCGGGTTGCTGCTGCCCTTGTAGCCCCCCTCAGAGTGCAGCTCCTGGACCTGCGAGGCCGGGTGCGGCGGGTACCAGCCCTGCTGACCCGTCTGGGTCGGGGGCCGCGGCGACGCGTGCTGCCGGGGAGGCGGCGGGGTGTAAGCCTGCTCCGCCTGCCGCCCCGTCTGCGAGTAGGTGACGGGCTGCGCCGTCTTGACCTGCACGCTGAACCTGGGCCCCGTGGGGGTGGAGGCGGTGGTGTAGGAGGCCGGGACGGGCTGCGGGTACGGCTTCGGGGTGGAGGTGGAGTAGAAGTCCTGCTGGTGGGAGTACTGGGGGGCCGCGTGCTCGCCGGGATACGGAGGGCCCGGGTGGTACGCGCTCTGGGGGTGAGAGCTGTAGCCCGCAAACGGCCGACCTGGAGCGGGGGCTGCGCTCTGGTGCGCAGACTTGTAGGTATCCCCTGAGATGTATTTGTTGTAAGGCACGTTGTCGTAGAGCTGAGAGGAGGCACACGTCACAGTTAGCTTCACTCACAACAAGAAAAACTCTCTTATTGTAGAGATTCGGTGCTGGTTGTTTCAGTACCTGGTTGGCGGCGTCCTGCGGGTGGCTGTCCAGATCGGCCAGCATACTGGTGAGGGAGTCGATGTCGGCGTCGATCTTGGAGTGGTAGTTGGCGGGTTTTTCAGAGCCACGGTGCTGAACGAAACCGAAACAATCAATGACATTTTAGTTCATAAATTCACAGTGGTAATTTCAACAGTTCTGATTCTTAAAGGAACGCTGAAAACGGACTCGGAGGCAGGAGTCGCTTCCTGAAACTTCTCGATATTCACGGAAGCAACTCAATTTGCAACTTGTGACCACAACTTGTTTACTTGTTTAATGGTCAATTCTTTCCCTACAGCTGTCAAATAGACATTTTTGTTTTATAAAAGAAACAAGTTAAAATAAGGAAATGATTTCTTGTAAATCTATAAATTTCTTTAAAACATTAAATGTTGTGATGATATAATTCTTCATTAAGGTGATTTTTAGATGTGGAAATCTCAATTCAAACAAATTCATATTTTACTTCCGTATCATAATCTCAAACTGAAAAAGGGGAAAAAATGTAATTGGAGTACATAACCAGAATAGGGAAAAAAAAATTAATTACTATTTTTGATGAATGAATTTGTGTGAAAGTTAATGGAACCGTGCAACAAAACCAACAGGTTTTATTAATGATTTATGTCTAAAGACTGATATGGGCATTGTTTGTTAATTTTGGGCAATTTTTTTTTTCTGAAAAACCAATCGATATTCAGATTTCTGGCAGAGTTCAGAGCATTTATTCAGTTTTCTCATTTAAAACATTTTGGCATTTTGAAGAAATCACCATTGCCATGCATCCTAACAAGGCTTTCAGTGTCTTTGGAGGAGAAATAGACACAAAAATTAAACCAAAATTGAAGGCTAGATGTTTTTTTCTTCACCAGGGGTCAAACAAATGTGACGACACCCAAAGCTGTCGAGCAGAAACTTCACACCCACCATCATGTCGTAGCCGTCCATGTGAGCGCTCCAGCCTCGGTCGTCTTTGGGGCCGAGAGGGGGGGAGTAGTAGTGATCAGTGGAGTGGTGAACGGGCCCACCTGGAGACAGCGCAACAGTAAAACTGATGTAATCAGGTCTATATACTCTCACTGACACTTAATTTCTGCTTGAATGAGCTCTTTCCGCTGAAAAATGCGTTTCAGAGCTATGCTAAAGAAGAAAAAAAGGCATCAATGACAGCTTATATTCAGTTTTTCTTGAGAAACATTGAGATACGAATGAGTAATTTAGTTTTGAGAAGCAGAGCTGTGAAAACTAAAATAACTGAAGCCTCGTCCTCCGCGGCGGTTTTTTTTTTTTTTTTTCCCAGAAAGCGATTTCTACACAAAGGAAAAAGGAACTGTGACTCAAAATAAAACGTCCACCGGTTTAACGCAGAGAATGGATTTTTATTGTTCAACAGTGAAAACATTTACAGGAGATAAAGAATTCCCCGAGAGCAGTTTCCTTTACTCATCGGCCCCAATGACATTTTTTATTAAAAACTTCCTCTTTGTCGTCACTCCCAATGATTACTAAGCAAAGTCGGCGTTAGTCACATCGCTGCCAGGAGGACGTCTAGGCGTTTCTTAGAAAACTCTTAGACAGAACGGTCTAGTCAAAGTCTAAGTCAAACTGGGAATCTATAACGAGGCTTGAAAACCAGTGTCGACAGACGCTCTCCGTCCTTGAACCGTTTTCCGAAGAAGAACGGGCAAACATTTAAATCTGCAGACCTGAAAAACCGGTCGGGTCGAACTCTGCAGCCGTAACGGCAGAGAAACGTTTGGGAGGTTTGAATACAAACACACAGCATTTCTTTTGGCATGAAATGTTTAAAAGCGTAATTTTCCTTTAACTTCACAGTTACATTTATGTTGGTTTGTCACATGATTTGGGAGAAAATGTGGAAGATTTCAAGGAAAACTTCACAGCAATTTTACAGATTGAGTTTTTCAGAAGAAAGACTTTCAATATAGAATCTGCATGAACTACGACAGAGGGTGGATGAATAAACTCAACCTTCAGGACAGGAGGCAAAGGGCTGAAATGCTTATACTGTTCTCTGTTTTCGGTGCATCAGAAATCTCTCGTTATTTTGTAAACTGCATCGTTCTCACCTGTGGGTCCAGTCGCCATGTACCTGCTGGTCATCCCCGCTCCTCCGTTCTGGTCATAGGGAGCGTATTTGGGCCTGAAGTCGGCCACGCCCTTCTTGTTGACGGTTTGGTAGATGGGTGGTCCTGCAGAGTGGGACATCTGGGGGACGGATCGCTCTGGGCTGTCCAGAGTCCTCGGCGGCAGCCAGGTGGGACCGGACATGGCAGGAACCTGGGATCTGAAAGACCACACGTTTCATTTTTCTCGCTTTAATTTTTATTTATTTATTTTATTTTTTTTAAACTGCTCTGGTTTCTGTATGCGTTTATGTAACTGGTAACCAATGGAAACCGCAGGATGCTCCAGGGTTTGTTTCCTATGGTAACAGGAGGCTCGCAGGCTGAACAATGGATTTCGAAAAGAAGAGGAGGAAAAGAGGAACGAGTTTAATGCTTTTGTGTGCACCTCGAGCCACAAACAAACAAAAAAAATCATACAAACGCACAGGAACGCCGGCAGGTGTTAATCCACAATACTTATTGTGTTTGGGTGTTTACACACAAGTGTCGCGCGTTTCCAACTGAAGTCGAGACAAATCGAGACAGGAAACGCTCCATAATGATATTTATCTGTGTCTGTGCGAACACCTGGCTCTGAACAATGCGTCATGTGGAATAAACACCGACGCCGAAAAACGACAGCCGAGCTGCACCCGAGGGCTTTCAGGATACGACGATTATGTAAGAAGACGCCCAATTCAGAAACAACGAGCACGCAGCGTGGCGATAAAACGTCATCGGGCAGAATCCATCAAATCAGACTTGAGGGACAACAAACTTTACTGATCGTGAGTTCTTTTAATCCCAGTTTATATATAAACTAAAGTAAAATGAGTGGGGAACAGAGGCGTCTACTGTGAGCAGCTCTTGTTGAGGCCCAAACAGTGTGAAAGAAACACTCGTCCCGTGTTTCCATGCCTGCAGAGTTTAACCGCTTGCTTTGAGGAAAGTCAAAGAGACGTTTATCTCAGTTCTCAGCTTCCTTGGTTCTGATGGGTTACTGGTCCACAGTCGCACATGTATAGCGCCACCTGTCTATGTCCGTGTAAGTACGCTGATGCTCAGATTGAAGTTTCTACAGAGATTCAGGTCAAAATTATACACTTTTCCAGGTTTAAATTAACGCAGTTTATCCCAACAGACAGAAAGATGGAAAAAAAAGAGCACATGCAGAGCCAAATAGAAGGGTGAACAGATAGAAAAATGGGCAGAAGGATGGAGACAGAGGTGGAGAAGTGGAAAGAGGAACAAAAAGATGGATAGAAATGTAATTATAGACTCCTAGTTTAGAGGTTGAAGTGAAAACCCCTGAGAAAAATCGCATCTAAACAAGAAACTAATGAATTATTTTGTGGTCTGTAAAACTATCTAATTGATCCAGATTCAAACACAAGCGAAATTAAACTGACGCAAAGTCGGCGTGGAGACAACAACCCACTCACACTGATTGCATGTGGATCGCGTCACCAACCATGTGGCTAAGAGGATTAAAATGATAGCTCCAAATAACAAAATGTACTTTCTTTGTTGCTTTAGACTTCCTGTCTGCGTGGCTGTTGTGTCGGCATTTAAACCCTGCAGGGTCAGCATTCATCAAACTGTGTGGAAGGAGGGGGTTCCACCAAACCCACTTTTTTTTTTTTTATTATTATTATTATTTACTGCCTGTCTGAATCTGAACGAGCGCAGACGCCCAAATCCGAGAAAAATTAATCCCTGCAATTTCATCCCCGGCGCCTCACAGCCAGTTGTTGTTTATATGCGACCGGCATTGCAGAGCTTACGCATTCAGATTTTATTTTGGTTGGGACTAGAGGTCAAAAGAAAAAGTTAGACAAGCAACAAAAACAATAACCAGTATATTTAAAAAAATAAAAAAATAAAAATCTGATCTATTGTTGCTGCTTAAGCAGCATGAGAAAAGTAAAAAACATAATATATAAGATAAATATGGTCCAAATTGTTAAAGTCTCAAATATATATTGCAATTTTTTTTGTTTTATTAAACTTTTTAATGTTTCTATAATAAAATGGCTCTTTTAATTTGAAAGCAAACACTTAGTTTAGATTAGATTTTATATTTTTATGTGCTTATAAAAACCAGACCAACATTAAACTTACACAAAAAATTAACAAGTGTAAAAAAATATATCATAAACAAAACAAATGGAATTTTATGTGGGATTGTTTTTGATATATAAAAGCAAAGCTTTTCCTACCTTTTTATCGCAACTCTACATTCCTCTTTCTCTTGGCCTCATCTACACAAACAGAACAAAATCAAATCGATAAACCAAGCCAGAGGAAAACATTAGCAAACATTAGCAGTGACGGGGAGCACTTTCTATCCAAACTGAATTAACGGTCTGACTTTAGCAAAAACTGAACAACCTTCACTTTAAATCCCATCCTGAATCTTTACATGCCTCTCATTACTGAAAAACTCACCGCCGATGACATCATTTAACCCACAGTGAAGGAAAAGCAGCGATAATTAACTTTAATAACAGCTCCGTTGACTAGTTTCCCACCGTGTTATGAAGTCGAGCGGAGCTTGTGCCTTGCCCCCGGGCTAACTTTCAACACGACCGAAGAGGAAACAATGCGGCAACCGACACCCACCGCCCCGAAACCTGCCACACAAACGCGGCCTACATCTCAATTTAAACCTCCACAGGTTAGTAAAAGTTATCCGGAATATCCTCAGTGTTCGCTGAAGCGTTGTTAACCTACTTTGTCAGGAATCCGAAGGCCTTTAGCAGAGGCAGCAGCAGCGGCAGCTACTGACTGCGTTCCACTGAGTGACGTAGCTGACGACAGCGGCGTTTCAAAATAAAAGCACACAGTTAGACGATACGTTATCATACTGCATTTTACACGACGTTACAATGTGATAAGATATGCGACAGAATATGACATAATACTTAAAGTTATAAGATATATGACAGAATGCAATACTACGCATTATAGGTTAAAATGTAATATCGTTAGCCTTATAGCATAATTGTCTAAGTCTCATTTTAAAAATTAGGACTTGAGCAATTATGCTATTAGACTAACGACATATGATAAAACATGATAGACAAATTTATGAAGTGATTTAAGACAGAATGCAAAATTATACATTAGGTTACAATAGGATATGATGTGATATCATACATTAACTATGAAAGTGTATGACAGAATAGATTAAATTACAACATGAAACAACAATTATCCAAAATGACATGATATGATTTGACTTAATGCAACATCACAAAGTAGCTTACAATATTATTATAATTTGGAATGCAGCTTGATACATTAACATAATATAACACTATGTTACATCGGATAGGTTAGAACAGTATAAAAGGTAGACACTAGGCAATCTGAGAGAATTTAATATGGTGATATAGAGCAAAATTACTTTACTTTTTCAGACATGCATTTACTTCTGAGCTCATTATTTGTTTCTCTAATTTCAAACAACTTCTGAATACTGTTCGGAAGGACATGATTTGTACATGGCCAGCGTTAGTATTAAGTACTGATAGATTGTAGAATATAACATCTCCTATATCTTTCAGTGCATATAAATGGTTTTCATCTCCCTACACTTTTACACTGAGTGGTTTGAGAAATCAGATTACACTATAGGTGTTATTTTTAGTATTTGCCCAAACCTGCTTACATCAACAATTCAACCAGCTCAATGAAACACAATTTAAACAAAGAGCAATTTGCTGTAGTGATAGACTAACATAAGCATGTTTCCTTTGTTATGACTTGTTGATGATCAGGTTACGTCAGAAATGTTTTATTTATATTTTCTTTTTCTTTTTTTTTAAATAAAGGTGTTTGGGTCCTGTGGCTGCAAAAACATCATCACTTCACCACCGTGTTTAAAGTTTGAGGTGTTTGGGCTGATAATATGGCTCTGTTTTCTCTAAACATGGTGCTATGCACTATAGTTGCCATTTGTTGTCATCTTTCCAAAACACATTGCTCCAAAAGTTATGGGGTTCATTAAGGTGCAACTCTGCAAACCCAAGTTGTGCCGCCATATTTTTCATAGATCATCCTCCTCGTGATTCTTCCAAAAACGTGTCCGTCTTGTCTTGCAGTCAAATTTATGCATTTGATTTGCTGAGACCTGCAGAGTCTGACACTGAGTTTTTAACGATTATTTTAGAGAATTGCACAGTCTGGATTTGCTGGATCGAACTGGTCACATCTGTTGATGATTAAAGTGCCTTTGATAAGCGGTGTGTGGTTTATGCTCTCCCCCCTAAATTCTGCAGAAGTAGCTAGGGTGTACTTAGTTTTCCACATGGCTCATTTTGTGGCTGAAACATCTTCATTGAATCCCCCTTTGGGTTTTATATTCAGGGATTATGGGAAGAAGACTCCCATAATCCATAATCGTACAAATAAATCACAATGTGGAAACAGTTGCGACATAGAAAAGTTGGTCCTAATTTACTTTCTGCCCCCACCTCACACACTGAATTTTGCATGAAGGTCAAGTGAGGCTTTATAATTTTGCGCATGATCAGATTTGGGTCAACTGTCTCTTACCCACTACTACTCCCACCCCATTTCCCCTTCTTCTTCCTCCTCCTCTTCCTCTTCCCACACCACCCAGCGTGAACTGTTGGGTGGTGTGTTACCACAGTAACCTCTTTCAATGGCATCATTTATTCATACATTCTCTCTCTAAGTCGAGCCATTTCCATCAAAGAAAAGACAAACAACAATGGCTTACCCTGGGATCGCCCTTCTTCCTCTTGCTCCTCTGCTGCTTGCCCTTATATGTCCAACCAGGAAGAGGCGGTTTACCCAGATCTGTGTTATTGTCAACCTTTTGGCACTGACTTGGACTTTTGAAGTCACAGCACGGCCTCAGTCCACATGTTATCAGATGGATAAAAGTTCTTTCCAGGCAAACCAGGAAACCGCAGAATGGCGGGAAGCCTCACACGTAAAATACAGACAGGTGGCACAGCCTCTTCATTTTGATTTTAAATAACATAATCTCTTCATTTTATCACAAACAAGACCAGTTGGCCGCCAAAGGGCACTCGCAGATGGGCTCAGATGCAGGAAGTCACAGAGAGTGTTGCCCGGTTCTGCCAACGGCGTAGACTCAACGGCTTCCGGCCATTGGTGAACCCGTTTAGTAATGTTCTCACTTTTCCTCAACCGCCCCCCTCATCCGTTCTTCTCACAATGCCTGGAAGTAGCAGAGACCTACATCTCCCACTCTGTTTTCTTAATCGTTGTTTTCCTTTATGGTTTCTTCCTCTGTTTTTTTTTTTCTTTTTTTTTTCGTTTTAACAAAGCTCACAATTGATGAAACCTTCCATCCAAACACATTAAAGCACAAGGACACTCGTCTTACTCTACATCCCATGCAAACAATATGCTTCCGATTCTCATTTTCAAAGGAGCAGAGAGCGTATGTTGGGCAATGTTTAATTAAATGGCTTAAAAATTTTGAAGTCTCCAAATTAGGGTTAGATTTACCTGCTGAGGTTAAATTTCTTTGAGGTTATTTTTTGTCACAGTATGAAAACAAACGTCAGTACTTACTGTAACAGGGGTATCATGCACATGTATTCAGCTCCCTTTAATCTGATAACCCCAAATAAAACCCAGTGCAACCAGTTAAACTTTGTGCAGTTGAAGTATAAATGCAACTGTTCTGTAAAGGTCTGAAAGGTTCGTTTGAGAGTATAAAAAAAGCAGCAGCATGCAGACAATGGAACAAAGCAGACAGGGTAAAGTTATGTATCAGAATGACCCAGTCAAAGCCCATATCCAATTAAGAAGCTACATCAGAACTGAAAATTGACGTCTGCAGATATTTTTATCCGATTTGACTGCGCTTGAGCTACTTTACCAAGAAAAATGACCCCAAAAAAAACAAACAAATCAAGTCTGGCAGATGTAAATACGACTAAACAAGGTTCCACAAAGAAGAGAAGGGGTGAATACAAATCTACGTCATACTTTTCAGATTTCTGTTTGTATAAAATATTGGACATTATTATTAATCATTTTCCTTTCAGTTTGGACACAATGCAAACTGGACCTAACAACCTACAAAATGTAAGGTTGTGGTTGTGGCTTGACAGGATGTGGAAAAGTTAAAGAGGTAGAAAAAAAAACCAACCTTTGTCTATGACTTATGATCTGTTTAGTTTTGGTTAAATTACCCTCTCTATAGATTCTGTACGATCAACATTTACCTTTGATGACATTTTTTCCTCCTTTTCCTTTAGCGTCACTTGTTCAACACATTTAACGGAAACATTTTAGATCAAAGTTCACTTTTTCTGCGACTCTATTAGGCGCTCAGATGCTGACTGATACGATGCTGAGTTACCTTTCCGCTTGTTTTTCAGCTATTTGTGACCTCTTGGCCTTTGTCCCCTCGCTCCATGACTACCTGCCCTCTCCGTCAGTGTCTCCCTCTTGCTTTATGTCACTGACGGATGTCCTGCACAGGCGTTTTCATCCCTGTCTCTATGCAGTCTCGCAGGATGTATTCAGAGCTCTGTGTGTGTGTGTGTGTGTGTGTGTGTGTGTGTGTTGGGGGAGTTCCTGCACATCTGTCGGCTGCATTTCTCTCACTGTGGGTGGGGGCAAAGGTTGTTTTTCAGCCCTTGTAGGAGAACGTGTCTCCCATCTAGAAAGATCAAGTTTGTCCTGCTTCCTTCCTCTTCTGGTCCTCATAAACACTTCTCCTCCCAGGCAGCAGGCCAGAGGCTTCCGCTCAGCGTCCGGAGTGGTTATTACCTCCGCAAGAGAAACAACATGATCAATGCCGCTTGTTGTCTCTCCCATTAAAACCCAATTTCTTAAATATGTAATCAGGTCCGAGTGAAAATACATTGTAATTTAAGGTTAGCTCAATGCTAAAGCGATCTACGTTTAGTTGCATTACTCACATCTGAGTGTTGATCACTAATCTCTTAATTAAGTCCAACTAAATGGACTCAAAATGAGCAACATTAGCTGCTCCTCAGGCCAGGGGTGGCTGTACGTTAAAAGATCTGTCGATCCTGCATCAATCGAGGATAAGATCTCAATGATTGAAGAATAGCTTGTTTATCAAACAATAAGATGGAGTTCCAGCTTCCTCTCCTGCAGTTTCCTCCGGGACTGAAGTGTCGGAAAGCGTTGGTGGGGAATGTTCCCCAGTTCTACCCCTGGACAACCAGGCACGTACTGCCTCTCCCCAAGGGGTTCCAGTATATATTTTTTCAGCGTGGCACAAAAACACCCCGAGCTTTCCTGCCATTACTCCTCACCGAGCCGTGGGGGTTTAGAAAAACTAATAGGCCACTAAAAATACTCAGGGGCTTGGAGCCTGCAGCCATCGTTTTTTTTTTTTTTTTCCTGCCTCTCTTCCACAGTGCGCGTGGGCTATTGAGGAAATAGGAAACAAGGGACTCTGGTTGTAAGGGAGTTTCCTGCAAGACGTTATAAAGGGCTGTGCCTGCTGCTGAGCCAGTGTCACAGTGTTGGTGTGAAGGTGAATGCCAGCTCCTCGTCCCTCTGACTGCTGACTGAACACAGACTCAGGGGGGGTCTGAAGGCAAAGCGGCACGCTGTGTTTCTCGTCCCTGCTGGTCGGGGTAAGTCCTGAGATCACTTCTGTTTTATTTCTTTCCTATTTTGACTGTCTGATTGTTGTCTGGCTGCAAAGGATTTTATTGTTTTGAGTGTTTTAATTGAAGGGATACAACAATTGGTCAGCTCAGGGATTGAAAATAACCACTTTGTCTATTTGATAGGCAGGTCAAATGATGAAAAATACCCGTAGCTTTTATCACCTATTCATTAAATTTATGAAAACGAAGAATTTTCATTCCCTAAGCGCACCATCCAACAGCATGCATACTTGGTTGAGTTTGATTAAAAGCAGATGAAAGTGAAGGACATTCACTTTGCACAGGGATGATCTTGTAATTACATGTAGTTCTTACATTCAGGATTGTATTAATTGTAAGCCTGATCTTCTCCAGGTTTTTCTTTAAATAGTCTGTGTTTTTTTTTTGTTTGTTTGTTTGTTGTCATGCAGGTACGAGTAGGGAGCTGGTCTCACCTAACGGATGTGTCCGGGACACTCCAGTTTATTTATTATACCAGCTAAAACCAGGTACGTCATTCTGAAGCTCCACGCGTCCAAACAGGCGCCGTTCCAGGACACTCACAACGCTTTTCTGTTTGTTTGGTTTTTTCCCACAGATCCAGGCGAGCCTGATGGAAGTATTGGGGGTCTACAGAGTGGACAGAGGGCAGACCGTGCGGGCTGAGGGATACGTGAAGGAGTTCACTCGCCACTCCAACGATGTGCTGCTGAACCTGAACGAGCTGCGGCACAGGGGCATCCTGACCGACACCACCCTGGTGGTCGGCAGCGTCCAGATGCAGGCGCATTGCGCCGTGCTTGTGGCCTGCAGGTTAGTGCAAAGGTCAAGATGCCGCATGAAGCGCCGTCTTTGCTCTAGGAGGCAATGAGGCAGGGGCGTGGTAGCCCCCCCCCCCTCCACCCAGAGCTGCCAATCAATTTGTTCATATCATATTGCATATAGATTCACGGTTTGCCCACTCCATATCAGTGGATGACAGAAATGTTCATTTTGTTGTTTTACAACCTCCATTAATATGTTTTCTTGTTGATAGTTTTTTTTTGTTGTTTTTTTTTAGCAAAGTAGCTAATTACGATCTCTAGTCCCACTGGTAGGTTGATATATGTGATGTTTAGTAATAATAAGGAAAAGCAGCCTCAGAGTACTGCACAAAAAACTTGTCATAGAGAAAAAAGGGGGAAACTAAACTGTCGGTTGCAATTTGTAACTTGTGCCTGAATAGGAAAAAAATCTAGACAGCATGCACCTTTAATCTCATTTAAATCCTTCTCCCACTGTCTGTGCAGCGGGTTTTTCTACTCCCTGTATTCCCACCGGGTGATGCTTCAGGGCCGTGGTGGCGGCAGCAGGGAGCCGCTCAGGACCGTGTCTCTCCCCAGCAGCCTGGATCCGTCCTGCGTCTCCCTGCTGCTCGACTTCATGTACACCTCCCGCCTGCCCCTGACTCCAAGCATTGTCTCTGGCGTGCTGGCCGCGGCCGCCTATCTGCAGATGGACCATGTGGCGGACACATGCAGGGGCTTCATGCAGCTGCACTGGTGAGGGCCTGCAAATCGACCGCCTCCGCCAGATGTTCTTAAACGGGCAGTATTGTGTAGAATCGACTTTTTTAAGCTTTACATAATGTTATTCCCTATTCGAAAACGTGCAAAGAGTGTTGTTTTGATTCTTTCATGCGTGTTTGAGAAATTATTTAATCTCCCACGGCAACCATTCAGCTGTGCAAAACGTCTGGGCGGAGCTCCAGTTTCCTCTTAGCTGCAGTTCCCAAACTTTGGAGCTTCCACCACACAGCGACTCCCCCAGCTCCTTCAGACTAACCAGCAGCAATTAGCAGACACCTGGTGGAACTGAGCATCTGCTGAGCTCATTATTTGAGCTACTTCTCAGAGCAACGCTGGTAAAAACGTTAAACGTTTAATAGAGGAGGGATGTTACGACTTCCTCAAGACGGAGTTTCAGAAAAAAGCAGGAGTTGTTAAAAAGTCAGAGGCCCAATTTCAAGGCGCTAAATCGAGAGCCAAGTCATATCTGATTTATTTAGCATATATCACAGCTATAAAATGGGGCTTTGTGCTTGAAAAATACATAATACTGCCCCTTTAAGCATGTGTTGTGAATCTGCTTCACGTTTTTGACTTTTCTTTTCCAGCACAGAGAACGTGAGTGCCAGACACCCGCGGATGGAGCTGGACTCCAGCGTCTCTGTCACCTCTGCTTCCCCTAAAGGGGGGGAACTGCCCGGTCCAGGACCCCAGCAGTCCCTCCCAGCAGCTGCAGACAGAAGGTTAGTCTTCAAATGACAAAAACGGATTACTCAGAAAATGGAGGAAATTGTTATTTTTGTTCCATTTGCACATTGCCAGAAGTACAGCTGCCGCTGCAGCTTGTGTGCCTTTGTCTGTCGGCAGGTTGGGCTCATTACAGAACTTCCTTTGTTTTTCCTGCAGGTTCCCTGTTGTTGCAGAAGGCTTTCTCAAGCCAGGGGCTTTCCCGCCCTGCCAGCCTGGGTCAGACGAGGTGAAAGAACATCCTGACTCACCCGTCCTGAACGCCCGGACTTTATCCCCAAACAGCCCAGACTGCTCCAGCTGCCATCCCAACTCTCCTGCCGAGTCCAGCACCTGCAGCAAAAACCCAGAGGTAAAACTGGTGGCTGTTATTAAAAAGAAAACTGAAAGAAATATGACTAATTTTAAAATTTCTTAGATTGAAACCAAAGCCACACCAGACCCGAAGGCCTGCAACTGGAAGAAGTACAAGTACATTGTCCTGAACCCTCTCTGCACCGCTGCTGCTGCGGTGAAAGTAGAGGAGTCAGAGGAGGTTCAGTGTCAAGATTTGGCTCTCAAAGCTCCAACAGAGGCGTGGTCTGGAGAAGTGCCTGGTCAGATTGATAGGTAAACCAGACAAATGTGAGAAATCTGAGGACAAAGAAAGAAAAAATAAGTGGTTATGGTAAATATATTGAATTTCCCCATCAGACAGGGGCAGGCCTCCTGCTACGAGGGTTCTGGCCGAGCCCCTCCCCTCGGGCCGCCTCCCTCTCTGGATCTCCCAAAAGGCTCTGCCTCCCACAAGAAGGAGCCAGGTAGGCCCAAACAAACGGGTCATAAAGGAAACACAGTGATCTGGTGTCTAAAGCAGTTTTTCTTTTCTTATTTGCTTTTCCAGTCTCACCTGGCACCATTATCCCTAAACTTCTTCCATCTGATCCGGAAGCTGCCCAACTTGGCGAACCTCCAATCAAATGCGAGAATCGCTACCTGCCCTTTGCTTACTCTGGTTCTCTGCAGGGAACCAAATCTGTGTGCTCAGGTGAAACTTTCAACATATATTTCTGCTTCTTTTTATTGATTTTTTTTTTTTTTTGGTTGAGAAAAAACACAAGAAGTGTTTAACAGGAGCGAACTTTGTTCTGGCAGGAGACAAGCCATACCGCTGCAACGTGTGTGGAGCTCAGTTTAACCGACCAGCCAACCTGAAAACTCACACCCGCATTCACTCAGGAGAGAAACCGTACCGCTGCGACACCTGTGGAGCTCGATTTGTTCAGGTCAGAAAGAAACGGTGCACTAAAACAATTGCTAAACTTCTCATTGTACAGGAGTTAGCCATGACGGGTCAACACTGACTTCTAAACTCTGCTTTCTTAATGTTTTAGATGAGCTTTGAAAAGTTGCATTTGTTCTTAAAAGCCTACAGATAGAACATGGTTAAACATATCTGTCAGCAGCACTGACAGATATGAGTTTTAACTTCCAAAAAATATATTAACACAGTATCGCAATACTTAGAATAAATTTACTTACAGAAAGAATATAGCCTCATGCCAAAAAATTGCTCCATGCAGCAGCCATTCATCTGGTTTCCCTTACTGCAACCTCTGGTAAAGATGCACCAAAGCCTCTTTTTTTTTGTCTTTTATCAGTTTCATAACATCAAATTCAAAATCCAACAGTTAATCTGAGCAAATTCACTCACTTCGAACATAATCCCACAATGGTGAAATAAATAGCTTTTAACAAATCTGTTGTTCAAGAGTTATCAATTAGTAGTTCACAACTTCCTGTTTTTTGGGGAGGTTTCAATAGGATGTAACACAGGCGCCCATTTTTCTTAGCCAATCAATGGGAAAAACAAGAAAACATGTAATTCAAGTGAGGAACAAGTGTTGATTTTCATTAGACAGGAAAAAGCTGCAAGAAAACAACTACAGATTCTCCACTTTAAGAGTCTGCATATTTATTTTTATTAATTGAGTATTCAAAAATTATATATATATATATATATATATATATATATATATATATATATATATATATATATATATATATATAATATATATATATTAGCTTTTTGTTTAAACAAACAAGTATGTGAAATGTGACAAATAAAAAAAAAGGTTTTCTTGGACTGTGTCACGTCTCAACCTTTCCTTTGCTCCGTCCTGGTCTTAGGTTGCCCACCTCCGGGCCCACGTCCTGATCCACACCGGTGAGAAACCCTACCCCTGTCACACCTGTGGAACCCGCTTCCGCCACCTGCAGACGCTCAAGAGCCATCTGCGCATCCACACCGGAGAGAAACCTTACTCCGTACGTTACAGAAGCAACTTCCAAACCCTCCCACCTGCACAAAACTAAATCCGACCAAACCCGTATTAATAACCCTGTCCGATCTTTAATTTGTATTTCTGCTTTTGCAGTGTGAGAAGTGCGACCTTTACTTCCGACACAAGAGCCAGCTGCGTCTGCACCTACGGCAGAAACACGGAGCCATCACCAACACCAAGATCCGCTACAAGGTGCTGACCGAGCCCTTCCAGCCTCTTCTGCAGGCCTGCTGAGGAGCGCTGATCGCTGCATGCCGGATCACATGGGCTGTAACTAAATCTGTCAGAAAATGATTCACCTGACTCTTAATTGACTTACAAAGAGCTGAAAGTTAGATCTTGGCGTTAAAATTGCTGCAGACGTTACTTTCACAACATTACGGCCACCTTTATCGAACCACGTCTGGGCCGTATGGGACACGCATTTTGTCAGAAATGTTGGGTGAATGTTGATAAAGGAAGAGGGAAAGAAAAGGACTCAAGTAAAGTGTTGATGAAGGATTGTGAGGAGATGTAAAGGCAGGAAGAAAGCAAGAAAAAGGTGTGTTGATAAAATTTTGTAGAAAGATATTGGATGTGGAAAGAAGAAAGAAAAACGCATGTGTATTACGGAGGTGGTGAGTGAAGGTTCTTGAATGTAGAGAAGCACTTCATGAGTTGTTTTCATAAAAATGTATTTAACCTGACGGCCTGGGGCCTCTATATTGTTTTTTAAGCATCTATAAGAAGTAATTTATGCTCTTAGAGTTCAAACCAGACTAAAGGGATTAGTTCTCTTGTACTGAATAAAGACTAGAATAAACTTAAATCATGTTATTGATGGCGGCATTTAAATGAAATGTTTTGAAGCCACTTAAATTTGTATGAGTTCATTTGCAGGACAAATTTGAAATAAAATAATTTTTTTATCATTTCAAGGTCTTTTGTGGTTTTATTTACTTACAATACTTCAAAGATTTTTTTTTTTCCTGTTTCTCACTTTATAAACCAGATCTTGTCCTAGAAGGTTGTATGGTGTTGCCGTGTTCAGCGCTGTTGCCGCTTAGAGCAACAAGGTTGTAGGTTTGGCTAGCGATCTTTTTGCGTGGAGCATCCATGTTCTTTCTTTACGTGTAGCTTTTCTCTGGGTACTCTGACTTCTTCTCACATTTAACGAAAAGGATTGTTAGGTTAAGCGGCCTCTCTAAATTGATCTTACGCATGAGTGTGTGTGTGTGTGTGTGTGTGTGTGTGTGTGTCTGCAAACAGTTTGTCCTTTGTGTCTTTGTGTTGTATTGTGATCAATAATGGATGGTTTTTATCCTAATTCAAATCCATTCCACCAAACTTTTAGGCCGTGTTCCGTGTTTTTCTTGCAGTGGAAACAATGAAGCAGAGGGCACCTGTTTCCTCCAGAGTCCTAGCTCTTCTCGGCTGCGCGCGAGACTCGAACACGTGCGGGGGCTTCCTGAAGGTGATGGGGTGTCTGTGAACTCTCCCACCCTCTGTCATCCCCGCTTCCTGCTGCCTGATGAGCCATGGCTCGCCAGGCCTTATTGTCTGAGCTCAGTGGACAAATACTGGAAGTTTGACGGGACTTTCCAGGCTTCATTTACACTCCTACCCTGTTTTCTTTACCTAAAATTATCATTTAAAGTGAAATTCATCTCCAAGTCACCTTTTTTTTTTGCTTATAAACTGTCTAAATAGGTTATTTAGGGTTCCATCATTGGCTCGGTTGAATGATTCTTAGGCGGTTGAATTTTTCTAATGGAATCCCAAACAAAGAACTGCTGACATTGTGCAACAACAATTGGACACTGGAGACTGTCTATAGGTAACATGTGAACAATGTGAATATTTATTCAACATTCTGTACAAGGAATATCAACAGAAGTGACAAGGAGAAGAGTTGGCGCAAAATTCCTAACGCAAAACATTATTTTGTGCCCATTGTTTTCAGTCTAAACATCAACTCAGCAAATACTTAATCAAACTTAAACTGGCAACAGAACAATCCAAATACAGAGTAACAAATGTTAACAATGTAAAATCAGAACTGACCTCCATATCGTAGTGAAGCAAATAGAGCCGCTGCTCACGCTGTCTCCACTCTTTAATCCAATCCCTTTTCTTTTTGTTACGTCTTATCACTTACAATAAGTCCACAAACTATTGCTATTGCTTCTACGTCGTCGGCTATGTTTGTTTACTCAATTATGGTATGGCAGGGTTTTTACGGGATTTTCTGCCTGGAATCAGAATGTCGGTGAGTGAAATCGGATTGTGTCTGGCGTGGACAACACACGATACGATCCAACCGGTTATACTTAATGTTTTTTAATCGTCTCCTGTTTGGTCTCTCGGGTTTTGAAAGTTGGCCTACAATTTTTAAATCCTGCCGTGTGAACTCGAATATGTGCAAAGTGGTGATCATTTTTTGTGATTGACTTTTAGTTCCAGCTAACAGATCAGCTTTATTAAAAAAACAAGTTAATTTATTGAGTCATTTATTTAATTTTGGTTGTTTTTTTTGCAAATGTTCATTTTACTTGGTCATACACTGTAAATCAGTTGTTCTATGATTCTTTCTGAATGTGATTGTAATTGAGCTGAGGCTATAGTTGCTCAAGTCATTTAGGATTTCAAGACCTTGAGTTTGCTTCCCTCTAGTGTCAATCATGGAAACAAAACCAGAAGCAAAAACAAAAGAAAAACTAAACGGACCACTCACTTTCTGGACAATCCAATTGTTGGATTAGAAGGTTGTTATCAGAAAAAAAAAATCACATATTTTAAACAACTATACATCTTTACCATATTTAATTTAATTTAAAATGAACAGAAAGTGTAGAATATTTGTACTTCTCACGGACTGAGTTAATGGAATCACTGATGGATCCAGTGAGCTGCAGTGTTGGTTCTCTGGTGACTGCGCAGACTCAGCGGCCGTGGCGGCTTCGGCTCACCGTAACAAACCCTGTTAATGTTTTCACTTTACTGCTCTGAACCCGGACACTGTGGACCATGAGGTGCCGTGGAGCTGCCAAACGCACACACACTGGGTGAGTAGTTGAGTCGAGTTACAGACATCTCGGATAAGTGTTTTTAGCCGGCAGTTAGCGGCCGGAGTCCCTAACTGTCAACTCGAGCCGGTGTTCAAAGGATATGAAGCGATTACTAGGTCCCCCCCACTTTTGGTGCCGTTATAACCTCGCTCTAAAAATCGGTTTTGACTCTTTCCACTAATACTTTTGTTTAATTTATTAAACTATGTTACTTGTACACGCTGTAGGCTATATGTTTTGTTTTTATAACTAGTGGCAACAGCACAGCGGCAGGGGTCGCGTGACGTTACGTCATGCCCATTTACGAGAGCAGTGTGTATGGCAGGACGTTTTAAGATACAATCAAACTATAAGTTTATGTTTACATTTAGATAGCTGTGGCAAAGAAGTCCCTCTAAAGAAATGTTTTGAGATGAGGTTTCATGAAAAACTACTTATTATTTTGTTATTTGTCACTTATTATGTTATTCTGTAACAAGTAGTTACAAAATAGCTTAGCTGCAGTTGGCATCTTGGCGTCTTCATTTAGTAAATCCAGGAAAATGTAGCTTTCTAATGATGGCTTTATTTATTAGTTGTCATGTCTTTTTTTTTTTTTTTTTTTTTTTTTTTTTACCAGGAGAGTGTGTAATTAGACATTTTCAGGTGGAACTGGACTGATGACACTGCAGTAGCTTATTGCTTGTGCACATCAGTTCACCCTCAGTAATCAATAACCAACATGTGAGGAGCATCTCCCAGGGCCCTCTGACTTTTAACCTACATTAGGTCAATAAAGGCCAACTTGTTAAGAAGCTTAGTCCCACATACTTCACACCGCGAGAGTTTATTGCCCCATTGGAGGTTAATCATTACCACTTTGCTCTACCGCAGCAAAGATCTGTGACTTTTTCTACACTTATGCTTTTCCAAGGCCTGATAGGTCAACTTTTAACAGCCCTCTTTTATTTATTTTATATGTATTTATGTGTTTATAGATAACATGACCAACAGAAAGCTGAAATCACAGAGCCAGGGGGATGGAGCAGAAGACCCGGACGGAGGCTGGGGCTGGGTGCTGGTCGTGGCGTTGTTCGTCAGCACCAGCCTCGTGTTTGGACTGATGCGCAGTTTGGGGATCTTCTTTGTGGAGTTTGTCCAGTACTTTGAGGAGAGCGCTCAGGCCATCTCCTGGATCTCATCCATCGGCTTGGCAGCGCAGCAGTTCTTCAGTAAGTCTAATGTTGAACCCTACCTTCTTATCTTTAAACAATTAAAGAATACTGTAATGATCTCTGTCAGAAGACACTCAATTTCCTTAAAATACTAAGAAAAACCCTAGAATGATTTTATCTATTACACAGTGTCTTACTACTTGGTAAATTAGTAATTTATTTATTGTGCAAAAAGTACAGCTCTAGGTTAAATATGTATCATAGAAATTTAAAATCAAGTTATATTTCTTGAATTAACTGCTTGAGAAGAGGTGTGAGGTGTGATCGGGGGCCAATCACTTTTTTTTACACTGGGCCATGCAGATTTGGATTTTTACTTTCATTTAAAATCTGCATTTCATGTTTACTTGTGTTGTCTGTGCCTAATGTTTAAATTGGTTTTATGTTTTTGAAATACTGAAAAACATGAAAAATAAAATAAACTAAACCAAGAACTGGGCAAACGCTGTATGTTGCGCTGATTTTAAAGAGGTATTGCGCTGCGACTCTATCGTGGCTTTTCCAAAATTTCTCACAACTCTTGATTTTCTCAAATCCAAGAAAAACATCTTGTGTTTGATTTGTTTAGTAGGGATCAGTTTATGGTGTTTATTTTGCAGGCCCGCTGGGTGCAGCTCTATGTAACGCATATAATACCAGACTGGTTGTGATGACAGGAGGTTTTCTGTCCGGACTCGGACTCATCCTTGCCTCACAGGCCACCAGCCTGGTTCACCTCTACCTTACTATGGGACTAATCTCAGGTATGGCAAGTTTAGGGTTAGCTTTTCAAACCGCTGTACTCGGGTTATCTTTGGTCATGTTTTTTTATTATTATTTTTTCTAATTTTTGCTTATTTCTACAGAATACATGAATGAAAACGTTTAGATGTGTGTTTTTTTAGGGTTAGATGAAAAGAGTACAATTCCATTTCTTCATTTAGCCTCTTGTCCTCCAGGTTTGGGCTGGGGGCTGGTCTTCTCCCCCATGGTGGCCACAGTCATGGCTAACTTCACGCGCAGACGAGCGCTGGCTGTGGGACTGGGTTTCTCCAGCATTGGCCTTTCTTCCTTTGCTTTTAACCCACTTTTCCAGCTGCTGGTGGAGAAGTATGCCTGGCGGGGAGCCCTGCTCATCCTGGGGGGCCTCAGCCTCAACATCATGGCCTGCGGAGCCCTTATCCGACCAGAGTGTCGCTCTAAAGCCTCAACAAAGGTAGAAAATGTTGCCTTCCTGTTTTTAATAACTATAAGGAATAAAACTTTGTTATTAAATAAAAATATTACAGAACGTTTTCCCTTTAAGTTTACCCTAAGCACAAAGGGACCAGCTATGTGTAGGGTTGTGTTTAAAGTTTAAGTAGGGCTGGACGATATGGCTGAAAAAAAAACTATCACGACATAAGGATTTCATATCAGTCGATATTTTTAATTATGGATTAGTTTCTTGTTTTAAATATCTGAAATAAAGCCAAGCTGGTGGTGTGAGCTTTCCTGTGTTATCCACAGTTTCCATTCAAAGTCGTCGGTTTTTATTTTTAAGCAGATAGGAGAGGAGGCATGTTGGTGAAACCTGAAACTGCTGCTGCGCAAGTTATTCAACAAGTTGTTGCTAGGTAACCAGAGAACGAGTGAGTCGCTGCTAGGTAACCGAAGAATGAGTGAGTTCATGTCACCAACCCAGCTTAGCTGGCCTTGACAGGTGGAGCGGGTGAAGGCTTTCTCCTGCCTACATCTCCCAGAATGCTGTGCGGTTCTGGTTCGCACATGGATTTATTGCCCAGCCCTAAGTTTAAGGTTTGCGTTAATTGAAGAATTGAGTAGAAATGATGAATTCTGTCAGTGATTTGTTATTTTTCTCTGCAGGCGGACCCACAGAGCAGATTGTCACGGCCTGACCTCCTTCAGAGAGTCTCCTCCTACCTGGAGGTGTCGTTGCTTTGTGAGAGGCCGTATCTCACCTACACCTTAGGTGTGACTCTTTTTAACTTCGGCTATTTTGTGCCATATTTCCACCTGGTTGCCCACAGCCGCCAGGTGGGCTTCTCCGAGTACCGAGCGGCATTCATCATGTCAGCTGCGGGTATCACAGACATTTTTGGCCGAATTGCGTCGGGCTGGTTCTCTGACTTGGGGCGCTTTCGGGTCGTGCATCTGCTGACCTTTTGGACGGCTTTGGCGGCAGTCTTCATCATGCTGCTGCCCGTGAGCTCCTTGACGGGCTCCTACACAGCAATGATTGTGATGAGCCTTCTCTACGGTTTCTGCTCCGGCGCTTTGACCTCCATGGTGTTTGCTGTGGTGCCGATGATCATGGGCGTGGAGCGCATGATGGGGGGCCTGGGGCTCCTGCAGCTGATCGAGAGCTGCGCAGGACTGCTGGGTATTCCGCTGTCAGGTAAGAGTTCACCAATTCATCAACAACAATTAACACCAACTGTCATTGCAAGCCACCGAGCAAGACAAACGGGTCCACAGACAGCTGAGGCATAAAGATCTCAGTAATTTCTATCGGAAAGACAACAAAAACAGTACAGAAAGTGTGTGGCGGTCAGTGTCAGTGGTTCTGTCCAGAAAACAGATACATGTAAACCTAGCAACAGGTCATTCAATGTCTGACCATGAAGGTGACGCAGCTAAACCCAAAGTAATGGCACCAGTAGCTCTGTTACTGGCTCTTAGCTGTTTCTCTAAGCGGACAGAGCTAAACATCGGCTGCGTTTAGATTAACCACAGAATTGCGCAAATTGAAATCACGAAAACAAACTCGCTTAATGGAAACCCGCCAATTTTTTGAAAAAAAAAAAAACTTAAATTTTTTATTAAAAGTTTTGGTAAGGCTTCTTTTGACGGCGTGTGCATAAGACCGTCGTAAACGTGACGTAACACCCGTCATGACGATAAAGGAGTCTTCATGAATGTTTATGACTGTTGTCATAAAATGTCATTCGGTAAATAATTACTTTTTTAATGCAAAGTTGACAATTTTAACGAACTTTTAATGCAAGTTTTTAATGCAACTTTGCGTTATTTACAGAATGCAAAGTTGACAGCCCGTCAATTGAAGTGTTACCAAAGTTTTTGTTGCGCTGGGATGATGCGTTTTCGTTTTCATTGTGCAGTAGTTGGCTGATCATTTTTAATATGATCACCCACAGAGGTTAAATCGACCCATAAAGACAAGTTAGAGTTGCAATGAAAGAAATTAAAAAAGAGAAAAAATATATTTTGAGACATTTTTATTAACGTGAGATCAGGTTAATCTGAGATTTCTGACATTGTTTTAGAGAAACAACAGAGAAAATGGGAGGAAACGACTCAGTTTGGTTTCATAGAGGAAAGAAATGAACGGTGTTGAAAATCTCTCCTAAAATTTTCCACGAATGTTATTATTATTATTATTATTTTAAAAATGGCAGCTCTGTAACTCCTTTCTGCAGTTAAGTAGATAATTTTAGATATTTTAAAGAACTGTGTCTTAATGAAAGCGTCTTCTTGTGTAATCTGTTTTAATTATTCAGGATGAAACGGCACACTGTTCAAGGGTTCACGCTCAATCTGCTGACTCTGTTTCACTTATAGTTGTGATAATATAAGATATTATGGGCATGAATGCCAATACAAGTCAATATTAGTGAGGATATGTGTATATATTTAAGCATGTACTCTTAACATTTGGAGAAAATTCTCAAATTTGAACTTTTGTTTTGAAATTTATTGAGGCATTACGTTGACTAACCACTCCACCCCGGGGAAGGAATGCTCTAATAAATTCATTTTTTTTGTGCTGCAGGTTGGCTCAGAGACATGACAGGAAACTACACGGCCTCCTTTGTGGTCGCCGGCAGTTTTGTGCTCCTCGGTAGTTTGACCATGACCACGCTGCCTCACTATTTCTCCTGCACGGAGCCCCCACCTCCTCAGAGACCCGTCCTCGTTGATAACGGCGACACTTTGAATTTAGAGCAGAAGGACAGCTGCTCGTCTAAATTCAACTATCAAACCGTGGAACAAACACAAAGGTGATCTGATCGGGGAACATCTTTGTTTGCAAAGAGCGAGCTGAGTGTTAATAATACACCTCAGAGGATTAGACCCAACGCTCGTGGATAAGGAAAGAGGCCGGAGAAAGAAAAGCGGAGAAATAAAATATCAAAGCAATGCACATCAGCAAACGTGCATTTTGATCTTACTTAACAAAGAAATTAAGAAGCAAGAAAACATTACCGTGAACAACAACTATTGCTGTAACAATTTTGTTTCTTAGTTTATCAGCAGGGAATTTATACCAGATGTCAGTAGCAACCCTTGAAATCTCCATGTGCAAAGAAATCGACTGAAGTTATTGCGTAAATGGTTTATTGCTGTTTTCCTCCACATAATTTGTCTCTAAAACCTAAAGGTTTTGTTGGGCCTTTCTTCTTGAGTTGATTTAAAGTTAAACGTTTGACTGAGTCACGCTTCTCTGAGACCAGCTGAGAGTTTCTTTGGTTGTGCGTTTCTCATCATTGTCTTGCATTTAAAGCCGCACTTGGTTCATCATTTTCAGATTATCGGGAAGGTTTTGGTTCAGTCATATGAGCTTGCAAATGCTGAAAAACAGGCCCCTTAACATGATGTTCCCACTTCCAAACTGGTGATTTTAGCCAACTTATATTCTCCCGGTACTTCACTGGCTTGTCCAAATGTTCTGCAACAAATTTTAAACAAGATTCAGCGTGTGTTTTCTTCAGCAGTGGAGTCTTGTGCAGTGAGAATTTATAGCATTACCTTTTCTACCTTCTAATTGCATATCTTTCTGAATCTTGTTGGCCTTTGGGTTATTCTTTGGACTCTTGAAATGTTAAGATGAACTCCTAGAGATTATGTGGTCTCTGCTTCTAGATTATGGCTGTAGCTGGGCAAGTTTAGAAACACGTCTGTTTCTGGTGCGTCAGTTTGTTTAGTATAAATCTTGACAAACCTCTTTGCTTTTACACATCGCCACATGCCTCTTGCAGGACACCTTGGTTATAGGACATGTTTTTATTGGCCACCAGTGAGGATTAAACCAGTTGATATTCGTGTTGCACTGACAGGTACGAGGGTGGCTTTCTAAAAGTTGACAGATTTCAGATGGTTTCTTGGTTCTTTATGACTTTTGCGTCTCCTTTTCTTCAGCCGGTCTACATAAATCATTCTGCTGTATCACAGCAAAACTAGATTTTTGTGTTGATTTTTAAGTATGTGTGAATTACAACCGTCCATGGATAAGCACTTTGAAGAGATGGATGGATTACCCGAGTTGTTACCAGCATTTCTCATGAATTTCATGGTATTATCCTCCTAATTTATTAATTATCCTCCTAATTTATTAATTATCCTCCTAATTGGTTACTTACTAAGAATAAACCACCGACATGTTCAACACTTATTGTTCCCGCTCTGTGAGTCTGAGTCAGCTGCACATTTGAATTTTGCACCGTCATGATTTATCCTAGAGTTTTGCCTGATAATGATCAACACCACAAATTCAGCCTGTAATAAAGGCTGGATTACAAATCTGTGGGGATTATCTACTTCTGTAGGGTTTTTCTAAAATCCAAACTGAGTGTTTAATAATGTTTTATCATAGATTTAAAACCGAATTGGTTGTTAAAGACAATGCTCCGTGAGTCAATGAAAAGGTCTCCAACATATCCGTAGTTTGAGTTTTAATACCTCTTTAAGAGAATCTCAGGTTTTAAGTGACTTCTCAAAGATTTCAGGTTGTTTCTTAATGCTTTGCTGTTGATTTTATACCAAACGGCACACATTAAACCTGGACCAGGGTGCAGTTTTCCACTTCGATGACTGCGTATTATTACCAAGTCATGCGAATGGACATCAGTTCTGCTCACTGTTGGCGACTCGGTGCTGCCAGGAGTTTCTCCGCAGGAGCTCAAGATTGTTTTCTCATCTGCTCTTCTCGACGACCCATTCGTTTTGTTTGCACGTGCTCTCTGGACCTCTGTAAACCATTAACCAAGAATGCCTTTGCAACGCCAGATATGTTTGGCCTTGGGAACAGCTGGGTGAACATCTGGGTCACGATGACCCGCTGGTTACTGCTGCGATGCAACAGGCTTTTGGATAATACTTAACAGTGGTTAGGCAACTGATTAAAGGTGAAAACTTTTTATTTACCAGGAATGTTTTTTTTTTTTTTAATAAACTCAAATGATGGACTTTTTATTTTTATACAAAGCATTCAAAGCTGCTGCGGACTCTCAGATTAATCACATTAAGCAGGTCATCGGTGTGAATATCGGTTCTTTTACACTGTGTGTGTCCCAGCCTTTTGCATTGTCGCCCTCTGGTGGACTTCCACGAGAAAAGCACTCACACCGAAATGCGCGGTTGCACTGTTTGTTTTATTCGGCCAAATACAAATTTGATGATGTCACATGATGTACACAAAATACGCATAAATATTGTCTTTTGTAAAGTTGAAATCTGCCAACTGCATAGATTTTATGGTATTTTATTGGAATAAAAATGCTCCTTTTGTAACATTCCTGTCTCTTTGCAACAAACATTTTAAAAAGTCAGTATTAAAAGAAGAAGAATACAAAAACAGCCCATTTTAGAAAAGGGAGGGGAGGTGGGAGAAAAACAAACGCAAGAGGAAAGAAATCAGATTTTCTGGTTTTAATTAGGATCTCTTGGCAGAGTGACGGCGTCGCTCTGTGGGGCACAACAACACCTCATGCTGGACTCATAAAGCTGCTCCAGTGTTTCCACTTGGACGCGATTGTTCTGCGCTGACGTGATCACACAAAGCGTTCCCTGTCGGGAGCATCCAGCCCCCCCCGCCATGTCCCTCAAGTCAGCACCAGCTGAACTCAACATGTGGACGGTAGCCAGAGAGAAATGTCTGCAAGGCCTGAGAGCTCAATCTTTTCTACATTTGTGTAAAAAAAAAAAAAAAAAAAAAAAAGTGTGTGTGTGTGTGTTTGGATTGAGGGCTGTGAAAGGAGGAACTGGACAGAAGGATAAGTGATGGGCAGGATGACGGGCCGGTTAAGGTTTCGGGTCTGCGCTGCGGCGCCTGAGCTTCTCCGGGTTATTAGAGGCCATGTGCGAAAAGTCTCTGAAAATATCCTGGTACGTTTCATCACCTGGAAGATATAAACAAAAATAAAACAACATGAGCCTTAAAGCTGGAAGCGTCACATTTCTTAAAAGGTGCAGAAACCCAAAGCTCTTGGTGTTCAGTCCCCTGCGAAAGTATTCACACCCCTGGATTGCTGTCTCAACAAACCTCAAGGTATTTCATTAATGTGACAGAGAAACTGCAAGTAGTGCATAATTCTTAAATAGAGAGGAAATGAAGCTGGATTTTTTAAAGGTTTTTGCAAGTAAATAAGATTTATTTGCATTCAAGCATCTTTACTCTGATACTGCAAAATATATGACAAGATTCTAAAAATATTCAAAATTTGTGCAGTCCATCATCGGACATGACAACCAAAACGAAGCAATCCAGCTGAGCTAACAATCTGGGCGAGGGAGGCATTAAATCAGAGCTGCAGCCAAGAGGCCCATGGTAATGCTGCAGCAGCTGCAGATGACCTGCTGGCAGGACGACTATTAGCCGTGCTCTCCACTAATGTGACCTTTATGGGAGAGTTGCAGAAAGTAAACAAGACGACGCGGCAAAACCGTAGAAGAAAAGTTAAACTTCTCCAGGACCCCAAACGTCCACAATGTTTATGTCAGGACCATTCGTGTGTGGTAAAGGCCCAGTCAAAGCCCAGACATAAATCCAACTGAAAGTCCACGGCGAAACTTGCAACACGGTGTTCGCGGTTTGTCTCTGTCCGATCCGACTGAGCTGGAGTTTCTGTATTTCGCAAAGAATTGCATCGACGACGACGGAAAAGAACGCCAATACAAACTCGTGCAACATTCGTCTGCAAAAATAGTAGAAAACAATGATTCCTTTTCCTTCCACTTCACAATTATGCACTGCTTTTTGTTTGTCTAGTTTAAAAAAAAAAATAATCGAAAAACATGCGTGTCTGTAACATGACAGCGTGTGGAAAAGGGGTGTGAACATTTACTTTCTTGTTGTTTAAATCCAGTTGTTTTTGCACAAAAAACAAAAAAAAAAAAAAAAGTTGCATAAACTGGGTCCAGGATGCGTTTATTCCAAGAATCCCCCCCAGAGCACATTCAACAAGCAGAAGCCCTGAAGCACAATGTATGCAACACAACAAACGGACACACACACACACAGAATGGCATGCACATGCAATTTACCTCTCAGATTTCTGCAGGTGGCACACTGCGCAAGCAGTTGAGACCAGATGGACATCTCAGCGGGCAGAGGAGAGCACACAACAAAGACAGACAGTGAAAAAAGCAGAGCACTTAAAAAAAAACTGACCAGCAGACAAACACGTTTCACATTTCCCCTCCTTGGTGAGCGAACACACCCCCACCCGCCCCCCTCCCCCCACTACTTCCCACTGGAGACGGGAGCGAAGGCAGGCGGACCATGGAGACAAAATGCAACCAAAATGACCAGAGAGGCGTGGGACCCCGACTAACAGGAGCTAATAAATATATTAACTTTACAGCGTAAACCAAGCCACTATTCACAGAATAGCAGGAAAAACAAAACCGCACCCTAAACTTAGCTTAGATACCTGGAAGAACAGCCATGCTCATGTTTACAGGCGATAAAAGTCGCTGTGAGAACGTCGAAATAGATCCAAACTTATTGGAAAAGGTTTGTTATTTGTTATTCCGCGTCCTAAATGTTGGAAACACATTTAGCACCTCAGTTGTGGGCTTTGTTTCAAAGTGTCTATGTGCTTTTAGTGTGAATGTAAACGGCGCACACTCATGTAAAAAAAAAAAACATACCAGGTTTACGTGATGTGAAGCAATTATGAGTCATTTTAAAACTTTTCCTCCTTTGACATCGTATCCTGTACAAATAACAAACCAGTCTGTTGGGTGGGAAAATGTAGAGAATAAAAAACCTGGTTTGATTCAGTTATTTGGCTCTGTGGTCCCAAATCATGACGCTGCCACCACCGTGTCTAACCGTGGGGAGTATGGTTTCATTTTGGACTAGATGGTTTTAAATGTTTTTAGCTCTAAAAACAAATGCAGGTTTTTAGAATAGTTTTTACTCTTTTGTCGTGGAATGATTGCAATTAATTTCCACAACAAAAGGTGTTTTAGATTGTCTTTAGGTTTGAATCTGTGTGCTTAGTTTTTCTTTTTCATTACTTCCACAAATACCAATGCATCTATCCTTTTTTTCCTCTTTAACGTTTTATGTTTTTCTTTACTTTAAAACATACAAGTAGAAATAAAACAGCAGATCTGTAAAAATGACGACAACATTCCTATCAGTTCCCAAAAAGTCACATAACATTCATGGCTATAAATTAATTTTGAGTCGCCTGTTTGAAACGGCTATTTGAATAGTAAAGGCCGATTTTAGACAAAATGCATCACAACGCTCCTCGTCTTTTCTCACATATTGATGAATCAGGAGTTTATTTATACTCTGAGCCAGAAAATAAATGTTAAATACTTTTTTACTGCAAGGTATGAGCTAAAGGACAGAGTGGGCAGATGTCCAGACAAAATGGCCGCTTCGTTTAGTTAGAAGTGCTGCACCTGATGACTAGTGTGACCCCAAATAAACAGGCTGCTGGCCTTCAACTTTTGTTTCCATCTTGCATCTACGAAGTGATTATTTTTTAATTGTAATGTACAGAATATCCATCAAATCAAAGGTGGGAAGGTTTTTAGAATGATTCATTTTTGTTTCATATCACAAAAATCTGGCATTTTGATAGCAGAGTGAACACTTTTAATATTCACAATGTGATTCATATCTTCTTTATAGATAGGATCCCTACAATTCCTTTCATCTCTACCGTTTTGTTTGAATTGAATATAATTTTTTTTTGTCACATTCTTCATGCTTTAAGGTCTGATTTCAGCTCTGCTAACCGTTCCACCCCTCCTAAAGCCCAGTCGCTTATTTGATTCATTTTGGCCTGGATCCTCTTCCTGGCGTGACCCCGGCCACCTCTAGCCCCGCCCACCACCGCCGCCGCCCCGCATTCCTGCCCCGCTGGAGGCGGACCTGATTGGCCGAAGGCTCCGTCCATCTCCCGCATCTCTTTGTTCATTTTGGCGATCCTCAGCCTGAAAGGTAAAGAGGGCGCGGTCAGAACGGTGGAGTCTGCCTGTGCCGGACTGCAGAGTTTCTCTTCACGGGGGTGCTTACAGAGTAACGATGTCTGCGTTTGCGTTGTCCACGGCGATGGTGATGGGGTCCTTCTCGTTCTTGTCTCGTGCATTGTAGTCCGCTCCTCGTTTCAAGAACAGGCAAACCAACCTGGACAAAATGAGGAAAGCAGATCACAGATGAATATTTGCATTTGCGCCCGACGCCACGGCTGTGGTTTTTGTTGCCTTTTGCGGCTCGGACAGATTTATGGTTTCAATCTGGCAGAAATCAAAACAGGATTTAAATGAATTTTAGTTCCTCATACTGTTTGTGAATTTTTGTACAACATTCCTGCATCCTCTTCCTGCTAAGTAACCTGAGCTACATGAAAAGACAGGCAGGCAATTTGTGACAGAACTTCAAATTTGTGTAATTGGGTTGTTATTCCAGGTTTGTCTGAATGTTCTACATAATATAAAATGATGCATTCGACACATCAAGTGTTTTTTCTGTGCACAAATGGATGGCTGAGTGGCGCTTGAATCGAATAGAAAAAACTCCTTTGCAGTAACAAAAAACAAAAACAAGTTTGTCAAATTTATTAAACCTCAAACAAAATAAGGATTAAAATCAATTTGAAAAAATGTGTTTAAAGTCGAGCATAATTATGCAGAGTGGAATAAAGTAAAAAAATATATATATATATATATATAAACAACTGTCATGATCAAAACTACAAACAATTCCTGTCAAATAAACATTTTCTTTTTCCATGCTGAACTTTTTAAAGTTGATCAGAGTTTCTAGGAACTTTTAGTACTCAACGACTTCCTGTTTCCCCTGGGGAAACATAGGATGTGACACACACACACACACACAGAGAGGCGCATTTCCACTTTTCAAAAGGGGAAAGACAGCAGTACATACCGTCCAGATAAGTCTCACGCAAGACGTGGATCCTTATAAAGAAGGGAATGGCTGCAAAAATCTACGAAAAGAAAACTGCAACTCCAACTAAACCCCCTCGTATAAATACAGTCAGAACACTAATTAAAGCAAAGCTGGGCAAGATCCCAAGTTTATCTTTCTGTGATGAACAGTGAGGAGGATAAGAAGGAGGTGTAAAAAATATTCTCCATCACTGAAGCAAACATTGACTCCAAAACAATCATCAGTTTGTTTTCTATCCCGTAAATATGAAGCTGAGCTAAACTGGGACCTTCACTGGAACCAAGCGCGTTGGCCAGATGAGTCTAAAGTTGAACTTTTTAACACTGAGCACTTCAGATGGGTTTGATTTGAAACC